ACAGCAACATTCTTTACTGAAATGGAAAAACTAATGACCAACTTCATAGGAAAAGGAAAGAAACTCCAAATAACCAAAGCAATATTGAAGAAAAAGAATAAAGCAGGAGGTCTCACACTCCCCAATATGAAAACATGCTATACAGCCCCTGTAATCAAAACAGCCTGGTATTGGTTCAATGACAGACACACAGACCAGTGGAATACAGTTGAGAACTTAAAATTAAACCCAGCCATCTATGAACAGGAAACCCTGGTGGCGTAGTGGTTAAGAGCTATGGCTGCTAACCAAAAGGTCGGCAGTTCAAATCCACCAGGCACTCGTTGGAAACCCTATGGGGCAGTTCTACCCTGTCCTTCAGGGTCGCTATGAGTTGGAATCGACTCGATGGCAACGGGTTTGGTTTTTTTGGTTTTATCTATGGATGGACAACTGATTTTCAACAAGTGATCAAAGTCCATTGAGTGGGGCAGAAAGAATCTCTTTAATAAACGATGCTGGCAAAAATGGATATCCACCTGCAGAAAAATGAAACAGTACCCTTACCTCACACCATACACAAAAACTAACTCTAAATGGATCAAAGACCTAAATGTTAAACCTAAAACCATAAAATTCCTGAAAGAAAACATAGGTAGAAAACTATGGGACCTAATCTTTTGTAAAAATAGGATAACAACAAATACTTGCATAGAAGAAGACAAAATAGGTAGGACCTCATAAAAATTTTAAAACTTATGCCCATCAAAAGACTTTATTAAAAGAGTAAATACGCAAACTTCAGATGAGGAAAAATCTTCAGAAATGACTTATACGATAAGGGTCTCATCTCTAAAATCTATAGAAAACTGCAACAACAGAAAGATAAACAACCCAATCACAAAACGGGCAAATTTTCATCAAAAAGGACATCCAAACAGCCAACAAACATATGAAAAAATGTCCACGATCATTAGCCATTAGAGAGATACAAATCAAAACTACAATGAGATCCCATCTTACCATGCCTAAAATGGCACTGATTATAAAAAACCTGAAAAAAACAAATGTTGGTGAGGATGCGGGAAGATTGGAAGCCTTATCCGTTGCTGGTGGGACTGTAAAACAATACAACCACTATGGAAAACAGTTTGGTACTTTCTCAAAAAAACTGGAAATAGAACCACCCTATGATCCAGCAACCCCACTCCTAGTTACATACCCTAAAAAATTTTTTAAAAAAACCTGTGGCTATAGTCGATTCAGATTCCTAGAGACCTATAATTAATGACATGAACAGACATATGCACACCTATGCTCGTTGCTGCTTTATTCACAATAGCAAATAAATGGCAACGACCGAAGTGCCCATCAAAAGATGAATGGATAAAAAAATTGTGGTATATACATACAATGGAATACTACCCAACCATAAAGAACAATGATGAGTCCAGGAAACATAACACAGATGCACCTGAAGGGCATAATGCTAAGTGAAGTAAGTCAAGCATATGAGGACAAATATTGTATGATTCTTCTTTTATAAAAAGACAAGAATAGATAATATACAGAGAGGCTCATGTTCGTTGGTGGTTACCTGGGAGAGGAGGGGGGAGGGGAAAGTACCTTTAGATTGTAGAGACTTGTTATTTTATTTATTTGTTTGTTTATTATGTACGTATGTGATGGGAAAAGTAGCACCAAATGTGGATGTAGTGAGCACAGCACAACCAAAGTAAAAATGAGTGTTTGAACACATATAGATGGGTATAGGCATATTGGTATATGGGTAGGTACAGGTGTGTACATTGGTGAGAACAGATACAAGTATCTATAGGCACATGTAAGTACAAATATGTATGTTCAGGCACATATATTCATTGAAGACACAAATATGCTAGTGAAGTGAGCAGCATCTGGGGTCTTAAAAGCTTGCAAATGGCCATCTAAGACACAATTATGGGTCTCTACTTGTCCGGAGTAAAACAGTAAGAAGGTAACCAAAAGATAAGAGAAGAAACAAGTCTACACAAGCCACAACCTCATCTACCCTGAGACC